CAGGATTTAAACACAAGCTGTCTGGTATGCTAGCTACCTGTGCCAGTATCACCCTACTTATCCTTAATTATTTTAAGAAAAGCCTAACATTTAGGAGAACAAATCATAGTTACAGGGTACAATATGGCAATTGCGGAGAAAATTTTAAATCAGGTAACTTGAGGCAATTATCTTTACGGTATTCTCTGGGTCCACATTGAATGATATGGTTTTGCTGGAATTAGGGTACCATGAGCTGACTCATCTTGCCCAAGAGTTTCTGCAGCCCCACCTTAACCCAAGAAGGCAAGTAAAATACTTATTTGATATATACCAAATATAATCTTAGCATGTTGCAAATTTAACTTTAAATCTTTAAAGGTAATTTTTTATACTACTTTAATGCATATGAAGAAATTCTTATTAAAAGATACAATTCAATTAAAATTAAGAAAGTGAACCCAATATATCATTATTGTAATAGAGTATGGAGGAATGTCACTTACCAATACTGCATTGCAACCTGAAAAATCTAATATTTAAAGCCTCTGATAAACTGATCATAGTTGTTGAACAGCAAGGAAAATATATGACTTCTCTAATCTTCAGGATGATGTCTGTTTCCTGTTCTATTTTGGCAATGACAATTTATTACACAAGATTATATTCCAATCATGATATCCTTTGCCTTCTAATTACATAGGAAAATCCTTGGAGTAACAAATCTAGCACTTTTCATGTTGTCTTGGTTATTTAAAAAGAGTGTAATAATCATGGAATTGGCACGATTTTGTTAAAATTCACAGTTAATCTGTTAATTTGTCTTCTCATAGTATCCATTTTAATAATGCTCTTACACTCGCCATGACATTTCATGCTACCAATTTACTGAATATCCATTGATCTTTGTCTCAATATATTATGAGTTTTACATTTATGATAATTTTTATTACCACTCATTTTAGGAATTTCCACAAATTTATTACTAATTCGTGCATTCTTATGATATAATTAAATGTACCACCATATTCATTAGCCAATTAAATATAAGTAGCAGCCTATAATACATTTAATAATTTAGTAGAAATGTCCTTGTGCTAATCAATTCAAATGGAATTTCTATATCTAAGCATTAGCAATTACAATAATATTTTAGCTATCATAGCAATAATTTACATATTTTATATTAATATTTTACATAATATAGGAACTTTTAAGTATTCAAACACTGGAAAATATATTTTAATAATCAAGCCAAACTCAAAATAACTTAAGCCAAACTCGATGTTTTCTTTACTTGACAGATAACACCATAATGCCTCATTTTAAAGCTGGAGGAAAAAATTTCATCCCTCTCTCTTCTTCTTCTCTCTCTCTCTCTCTCTCTAAGTTGCAGTATGTTGTTATTTCCCAAGATGTCCTCTGTTAATTTCAATGTTATAAAATCTGAATCCCCACTTTTCCAGTCATCATTCATAATCTACATTATGCAGTCTGCTCCAATAGCCTGCTTACTAGTCTCTAGTATCCTTCCGTCACTATATACCATCTTCTTAGTGGTTAAAGTACACTTAGTGGTTAAAGTACACTTTCTTAATTTTAATTGAATTGTATCTTTTCATAAGAATTTCTTCATATGCATTAAAGAAGTATAATATAAAGTAAATGGTTAAAGTAAACTTCTTGAAGTACAACATTGTTTCTGTCACTCTACCACTTATAACTGTCCAGTGACTCTTCATTGTTTGACTCAAGTATGGTATATTTTGATAATATTTCATTTTTATAGACTTTACTGACTCTCTTAAATTGTGATGGATTAAATGTGCCTCACTTCCCTTGCTCAGATTTATGCTCAATTTTCCTTTTTATCCATATAATTTCCTTTGTCATTTACCTTAAACCTAATTTTTAAAGATTCGTTTCAAATCCTGCTTCTATGAAGAATTCCCTTTCCTTTCCCATCTCCACTGGAATTATAAAACCCCATATAACCTTAAAGTCTGCTTGTAGCACTTAAAATATTCTGGCTAGACAAAGAATTATTCATCTATTAGTTTCTAATAAATATTTCCCTTCTTTAAGCTATAAATTCCTTGAAGGAAGGACCTGTATCTCCTGTACCTCCTGCAGTACCAAACAGAAAACTCATTCCAAAGAAGATGCTCAGAAATATTTACTGTATGACTGGGTTACTGCCACAGCAAAGAGCATGTGGAAATTTGAAATCATAGACAAATCAATTTTTAACCAATTTAGAAAGTATTGAGTATAAGAATGCAGGTAAAAATAATTTGGCCATTTTGAGCTAAACTTTCTTTTCTTTCACCTCCTCCTCTTCCTGCGCCCTTTCTCTTTCCCCTCCTCCTTTCCCCTCCCCTTCCTCTTCCTCCTCCTTCTTATTATTTCTTCCTCTTTTGAGACAGAGTCTCCCTCTGTCAGCCACAGTGGACTTCAGTGGCACAACCATGGCTCATTGCAGCCTAAACCTCCCAGCCTCAAGTAATCCTTTCACCTCAGCCTCCCAAGTAGCTGGGACTACAGGTGCATGCCACCATGCTCGCTTACTTTTTTTTTCCATAGAGACAGGGTCTTACTGTTTTGCCCAGGCTAGTCGTGAACTTCTGGGCTCAGGCAATCCTTCTGCCTAGGCCTCACAAGCCTAAATGTTTTTAATGTGATAAATGCATATATTGTACATCCAGAGGGTCTAAACACTTTTGAGTGTGAGAAACATATTTTGATGTCAAGGTTTCCAAATATCATATATTTTATAATCATATTTTTATTATTGACTCTTAGTCAATAGTCATAGGCATTTTTTAAAAAACGCCTATGAATTATAGATTAGGAACTTCCTTACAAATACCCAACAGCATTTTCATACCTCTCTCAATCCTCAGATTAAGAAGGTTCTAGAATACCTTTGAAACTGGTCTTTGCAGATAATATACATGAAGCATTTATTAGTGTTCCTGACTCATAATATGTACTCTAAAATGTGAGTGTTAGTGCTCACTATTACCATCATATCTATCTTCATGTTCTAAATTCCAATTCTGTGTTTAACCCTTTTCTCTGCTTCTACTTTATAATGTTATTAAGCTCATTCCTGAAACACGTTTCACAGTTTCATATGACACAGTATCTTTTTGCATCAGTCTCCCAGATGCCTTAATTTTTACCTCTTTCACTAATTTTCTTTCTTTTTTTTTTTTTTTTTTTTTTGAGACAGAGTCTTGCAGTCTTGCTGTCGCCAGGCTAGAGTGCAATGGTGTGATACTGGCTCACTGCAATCTCTGCCTCCCAGGTTCAGTCCACGAAATAGCTAGTACTACAGGCACATGCCACCACAACCCAGCTAATTTTTGCATCTTTAGTAGAGATGGAGTTCCACTATATTGGTCAGGATGGTCTCGATCTCCTGACACCATGATCCATCCACCTCAGCCTCCAAAAGTGCTGATATTATAGGCAAGAGCCACCACGCCCAGCCACCTCGTTCACTATTATGTGCTGTTTGGTTATTTTTCTCCTTTCCACCTCTTGCATTTCATTCACCCTGTCACCATGTTATTCTTTATATTCTTACCATCCCTGCTGCATTTTCAATATACTGCCTTTTCTGGATGCATCATCTGGACGCATCATGCACCTTTTGGTGCCTGCTATTAATTAGTTGCTTTTTTTCTCTCTTCAAATCTGACCCAACTGCTATTCATATTATAGTTGAAAGTCACTTTATAAAATAGACATATTCCTGAATATCGAGAATAAAAACAAATTTCTTATAAATAAACTCTTACTCTACATATGCAAAGAAACAATATTTTTAAATAAACTTACTGTGAAGTGAATGATCATAGCTTGTCCTTTGTATCAATGTACAGACTAAAAATGTGTGGTCCTGACACCTCTTTCGTTTACAACCTCTGAATCTAACTCTGTATTTTATATATGACTCCCTACTTCCTACTCTCTTTTGAAGCGCTAGTTTAACAAACAGAAACACACACACACACAGGGACACAAACACCCCTCCCTTTTTCCTCCCTCCTCATACCTGTGAGTCAGACCAAACTGTCTCAAGCACAGCATTGCTTTTCTCTCCTCCTCCTTCCTGCTCACCCTCCGCAGGTGTTTGCCCTTCTCCCTGTCTGTTACTGTATTACCACTCTCCATTTTGCCAATCTGTCTCATCCTCTGCTTTATTTCCATTACAGCTAGAGTGTTTTTCAAGCTTAATATCTAACATATTAATTCATTTCCTTCACCATGTAATACTTGATTTAATTTGCCTTTTCTTTTCTCTCAAGTCAAAAAGGTAGTCTCAAGTCAACCTGACTTGTAAACACAAAAGACACATCTGGATCTATCCCCATGATTGCGGGAATATGTTCTCGTTCCGGGTCCATGAGGGGGCGTAGCTTTAAGGGCAATAATTTTCCCAGCGCCATGCTCAGTCCCATCTCTCTCCATCCGGGAGAGTCAAAGGCTTATGTCTGAATTTCGCGGGCGCAGGAAGAAACTAAAAGTCAATGACTCCTGCGGAAGTTCTAAGGAACTCCTTTTATTGGCCCAGGGTCTTGGAGAAGGTGGGGGTTTCTCCCAGGATAAACGGTCATGCTCCCTCACCTGTGCGCAAGGGACTTCCAGCTTTCTGGAATCCCCTGCCACACTGGGGGAGCTCCCTCCAGGATTTCCCCTTTGGAATCCCCGTCCACACTCTTCGTAGAAGCCTTTCTCCTCTTCTCCTTTCCATCTCTTTTCTCTACCTAAATAAAATTACCTTTCTGCGACACATTTTTGGGTCGGATATTCACATTAGGAGCAGTCCACCTGCAGTGGCCACACCGGTTATTCCTTAAGAGATTGGAGGCCAAGAACCCACAACGATCACCGGCATCCGAGAAAAACCCAGTTACATGATGAACAGGATCTATGCTCCATTCTTATAAATAAACGATACATTGTCTAGCACAAATGTCAAATCATATCTTAATATCAACATGAATACTTACACTCAGCATATTTCTGAAGTTGGGAAAACTCTGAAGGGCTGAGGTGGGCCCATTTTTCCTGGTTTGTCATGGTGGTGGTGAGAAGGTCTGTCACATACCAGGTAAGGGATTCTTTCTTCAGGTGCTGCGCAGAGCTCTATGCTTCAGAAATTCCACATGGCATGTTTCATGAGAAAATACCCCAGGCTTTCAAAATATGCAATCTGTCCACATGAAACTGCTTTGGATGTTTGTAGTTTCAATAATGTGTTAAAGAACTGCAAAAAAAAAAAAGGATCAAGATCAAAAGATTAACATGATTGCACAAAGGAAAAAATATCAAGGTGTGGAATGTTTGTTAAATATTTGTTAAATAATATAAACTAAGAGTACAAATTGTGAAGAGAACTTTATAAAGTACGTTTCCGTAAATGCAAATTTTTATGTTCAGCGTTACAAACACCACATTCCAAGAATAGACAATGGTATCATTTTTATCAGTCTGTACCAATCCATTTTTTAATATGTAAACAACATATAAAATATACACCTAAATTATTAAAGGAGGCTAAAATAAGCTCTCCAGCTTCCTGTGCATACGATTTGCTGGTTTACAGTATAGACTGCCAATAATTGCTTGGAACGTTCATCAGCACTTGTAGGTATATTTCCAACCATACAAATTAATTTTGGAGAAGTCACATAATTTTTTTCTAGCAATCAAATAAAGAGAAAGTTTTGGTTATATGATTTTTTTAAATTCCAAAAGATTGGCCAAGTTAAAGCAATTCTGAATGTCTGAAAGACTTGTGTAATGACAGTAGATGACTCTATTGTGAATCATGCTTTAAAATAAATCTCTAGGTTGTCATGGACCTACATTCACTGGCTATATCTGTAAAGGCAAACAAAATGCAAAACCATCTGGTTTTAACATTTTTATCAGACACTATTATCAACTGCTCAATAATCAGCCAGATTGGCACCGTATTCTTTACAGAAAATGAAGTACTTAGTGAGAATTACTTTTTTGTATAATTGTATCATTGCAAGGCTTATTTATACAGATGTCATTACTTAAAGTCACCGTACTTCTGCAGACAAGACTCATTTGGTCTTAGTGCCTTTCCTTTCTTCAGCGTCTCTTCACTGTTTTCCAATGTCAATCCCAGGACATCACTGTCAGATCCTGGCATCCTTGTCTTTAAAAACTGCCGTTTTTGGTCTCATGGGGTCAGGGTTCCTGCACTCCACTTTACAATATGGTAGAGTTTGCTATATAATGGTGGGAAATGATGACATTGATGTGTTCACAGATGCCAAACTGCTGCATGTCTTTTGTCTTTTCTCCCAGGGGCAACTACAGGTTTGGGGAAGCAACAAAAGTAAAAGGGAATGGGAATGTGCGATAGACATTTGTATATATCTTCCACCCAGTTTCCTTCTGCTGATTTCATCTTTCACACTAGTTTCATCCTAACTCTCTGCCTCTCTCCAGTTATAGACAGTTTTGGTGGGACTGTGAAATGATGTGTTCTGTCCTCCACTAACTAAAGGGAGACAGATGATTCTGCCACACTGGCACATTATACTCTGTCTTCCAGTGCTTTAAATGTTGAGTGAAGTGATTCAAGGACAGGGTGAAAATGGTTGTACCTAAATCATAACAGAAATAATTGGATACTCGTTCCTCTCTAAGCCTGACTTTCCAGCTATCTTGTCACTTCCAGAAGCTTGTGATTATTTCTTTTAATAAAAGATTAAGGCCAGGCATGGTGGCTAATGCCTGTAATCCCAGCTTACTGGGAGACTGAGGCAGGAGAATCGCTTGAACTTGGGAGGCTGAGGTTGCCATGAACTGAGATCACACTACTGCACTCCAGTCTGGTGACCCCATCTCAAAAAAGAAAAGTATATATATACCGAGACATCATGCTATACCCTATAAATATAGACAATTATAATTTGTTAACTAAATTTTTAATAACTTTTTTTAAAGTCAAAGATTAGGTGAGTCAGAATACGTTTTTAATTGCCAACAATGCAAATATCTTAACTGGTGATACCAGTTTGTTGTTCAAATATTCATTCAAATATTTGTTAGGCCTTGCTGTCTGCCAGAAAGCTTTCTAGGCACTGAACATAGAGTGAAGAGCAAAACATACAAAAGATGAAAATGATGCTAATGCAACAATGTGCCAGCTTTACTGAAAGCTTACAGTTAGCAAAAGACACTTTCTTAATCACATTACCTTGTGAGGTCATTCAATCTTTAGAAAGCAACTCTGTGACATAGGCACTAACAGTCTCCCCTTTGACAAATGGAGAAAGTGACACTGGTGACTGAATCTGGTAGGTACAGCACAGACTGCTCCAAGCCAACCAGTGTCCATTCTTTTTTGCTTATTTGGTAACAAGAAAGATGGTGGAAATATATCTCTTTAAATGACTGCATTTCCCAGTTTCTTGCATGAAGCAGCGGCCAATGAGATTTAAGTAGATGTTGGTGAGGCATATAGAAAAGTTCTATTAGAAGAAATAGTCACTGGCAAGTGCTCTTTTGACGTTTTTTTCTTTTCCTCCTCCTTACTACCTGAAATGCTACCATGTTGGCTGCAAATCCAGAAGTTTCTTGTGCTAAAAAGATAATTTTAATATGGAAGCTATGTATTAAGGATAGGAGGCCCACATAAACTAGAGAGGGGTAGGCAAATAACTAATTGGGGAACAAATTTGGTCCACCACCTGTTTGTGTAAATATAGTTTATTGGAGCACACATCCATAAGAGAAACCAGCAAAGGGTTGTTTTTGAAGGGATTTTAATACTAAATAACTATCCTCGGGGAAAAAGATACAACAAAAGGACTACAACAAAAAAACAGAAACCTGATCACTCTTACATTTCTGAAATGTCAGTGTCTTAATTTAGTTCCTTTCTCTCTCACTTGCATTGTCGTGATAGCATCTTAACTGGCTCCCTGAGCTCTGTCCCTTTCCTAACATGGTCACTTCTCAAACCCCCTTGGTATCCTCAGAGGGTCATGAACAAGGATGCTTCTTGAGGACTGTCTCAAAAACTACCAACAACAAGTTAATTAGTAAACTATAATTGTAATAATTGCGTTAATTTTATCTTTCTACCTGGCTATCTGATCTGAAATTAATTAAAATCTCCCAGCTGGGCGCATTGGCTCATGCCTGTAATCCCAGCACTTTGGGAGGCCAAGATGGGTAAATCACTTGAGCTCAGGAGTTCTAGACCAGCCTGGGAAACATGGACAAACCTTGCCTCTACTAGAAATACAAAAATTAGCTGGGCATGGTAGCACATGCCTGTAGTCCCAGCTACTGAGGTGGGAGGACTGCATAGGCCTAGAAGGTAGAGGTTGCAGTGAGCTTTGATTGCACCACTGTAATCCATCCTCAGTGACAGAGTGAGGTCTTGTAACAAAGATGGGGGGAGGAGGGAGAGAGAGCAAAAGAAGAGAAAGAAATGATGGAAGGAAGAAAAAAGGAAGGGAAGGGAAGGGGAAAGATAAAGGGAAAAGAAAAATATCTCCTCGTTAATTATGACAAATTAAAACTTAAAATGACTGGTGAACTGACATCCTTAGGTCTGTACAGGAATGCTAATCATGTGTCGAGGCTCACCTGGTTATTCAGTTTAAAATTACATGTTCACGAACACCATCCCTTCATTAGTTTTGTATTTCTTTGAATATAACATTTTAACATCGAACACTTCACTTATATGTATTATTTAACATTTGTCTCCACACACTACAATTAGAGGAAACATAAGTTCTTTTGAGCCCTGATGGAATTTAACAGAAAGACGAAAGCAACTAAAAGTGCTAGGTTGCTATACTGCATGACATAAGCCCCATGGAGGGCAGGACGTTTTGTTCATGTGTTTACTGCTGTTTTCCCAGTGTTTAGAAGGATGGTTGGTTTATAGTCTCAGGTCAATACATACTTCTTGAATGAATTCACTTATTTCCTTTTTACTCATAAAACAAAGGTTGAGTGGAAGAATTAATTAGGAGGCCTCGAGGTTGAGTAAGAGAAAATGGTGCATAAAGGAGACGAGAACAGAAGTCACTCTGGGCTTCCGTTTTCCTAGGGACTACATCCATTTTCTTCAACTGGATGGACATTAAAAAAAAAGAACAAAGAGGAGGAGGAAGAAGAGGAAAAAGAAGAAAGAAGGAGGAGGAGCAGGAGGAGAAACTGCACTTTCAGGTACAAAGCAAAATTTTAGAGTTGCAAATGGATGGCGTTATTTCACATATTTTGTGAATTTTTTAAATATAGGTAACTCCATATAAATAAGCATTATTCCCAAGGGATGCCTTGTAATGTCAGCTAAACAACTGACCATAACAACACTTACACATGACCACCAAGTAGATTTTTAAATCATTTATCAATATCTAACAAAATCACTACCTTTCTTTGATTTAGCATGACCTGGTCAATTCAGGTCTGCACTTTCTATAACAAGAACAGCTCTCTGAATTGATCTGCCCCTATATGCATTTTGACAACTGATATTTACAGAATAATGGTATCTCTGAGGGGCTCAATGTAAATTTACTTTGGCTCTTTGATTTGGTTTAGCATATCCAAATACCAAAATGCTTTGAATAAATTCTTTCTCACCTTTCTTCTAGTGAAAGCCATTGGTTTCTCATAATTCTGACAGTTCTGACTCTCATCATGTGATACAACACATAGCTAAATAGTAAAAATAAGGGTGGGGTACAGGTGAAGAATTTTTCTTTAGTCAAATATGTTTACTAGTTGAACTGACATACACAAGTCTATGAAAAGAGAAATGTTTCAGGTATAGTTTTAAATATGGAGGCACAGCTATATTTCATGCCTCAGAAGGTAATGAAAATGATGGCAGTATGTTCTTATAGTCTCTGCCTCTTCATAAATGGCTAGAAAGAATGTGACAATATTCAGCTGAGATTCCCTACAGTGCATTCAGTAATGCTGTGTTCCCCTGCAGAAATCTTTCTTTAGGTTCATAAAATGAGTATCAGGAGGGATCCACTTTGCTGGCTTTTAGCAAGCACTCTAATCCTGGCTTTCTCATCCAGTCAGTAGAGGTGTCACTTTGCTTAGTTTGTTAGCAGGAAATAATTACATTGAAAAGTTGAAGAAGGCTCTTTGAGCCATTGTACCTGGGCTAAAACACAATCCCTATATGTAGGGGAGAAATCAACCTCCTCATGAAGAAGCCATTAGGTAATGTCTAGATAAATCAAT